CGCTGCAGAACGTTGCTGCGCATGCGCAGAGGGTTCGCGCGCGACCGTTTCCTCTCCTGCGCATGCGCAGCAACGTTCTGCAGCGGCGTTAGAAGGCGGCGCGTCGATCGAGCTCGGCCGCGATCGACGCGATCGACGTGATCGCGCGATGGAAGTTAGCTGAAAAGGACGCACCCTAAAGCGTGTATGTGTGTCTCACCTGTAGGCCCAGTGTTGCAGACCCGTTGGCGGTCAGCTCGAGTGGCATTCCCGATGCGGTGGGTAGCGTGTAGGCGGCGTCCAGGAACACGAAGGACTTGGTGATGTCGACGTCAGAGCGGCGCAGCAGTCCCATCAGCGTCCGCATCGGATGCCTGTTCGTAAACAAGAAATACATAACTGTCACGGTGTTTCCCCTGGTTGTTTCACTACCCGGCAGCCGTGGGGACTCACGCAAAGGAATCGGTGTTCTCGGCGAGCTCCTGGAGACCGTGGAAGCGGGAGTAGTGGAGCTCGTTGCCGAAGACGCGCGCGTACATCTCGCCGTGAGGCTCTTGGGGCAGGCGGTGGCGCACGTCGAACGCGCTGGACAGCTTGGCGATGCTGTTCTCGGCGTCCGCCGTGGGACTGGGCGCGCTGCGGAGGTTCTGCAGCATGGCCTGCACGCCCTCGTCCGGGAAGGCGCCGCCCTTGGCGAAGAGACCCTCCACCACTGACTCGAAGCCCTCGAGGCGCGCGCCCACCTCGAACAGGTTGACGGACTCGCCGAACACGTCGACCGTCAGGTTCAGGTTGGCGGAGCGCGGCAGGTACGACTGCGGCGAGAAGATGACATTGCTTTCGGCCGTGACGCCCGCGTTGAGCTTGTCGAAGAACTGCGAGCCCTCGTAGTTGCGCGAGAACTTGCGCACGTCCGTCTTGAATTTGTTCTTGAGGAAGTCACTCTCGACCAGCTCGCGCAGGGTCTGTTTCCAGGGGCTGGCTGTCTCCTGCAGGTTGGTCAGATGCGTCCACACAAAGGAGGCCACTGCAAGGACAGTGCGTGACGACGGTTTGGGTTAGTACCGGAGACTGCAAGGTCCTAACGGCCAAATGGTTGAAGGGGCCCCGGAGGGGAGCTCACCTTGGTTCACCTCCTCGGCGTACAGCACGTCCTTTACGATGCGGAGGATGAACGGCGAGGGGCAGCGCATGGCGGCCAGGTAGGCGGCGATGCGGAGCTCGACGTCGAGGCGCTGTTCCATGTAGAGCTTGAGGAAGGCGCCGGACGGCTGCGCCTCGCACGGCGCTCGCCGCCACGCCTGCAGCGCGGCCAGCCTCACCTCCAAGGGATTGGACGTGCTCTGCAGGGCCGAGTCGAGCGGTGTATGTGTAGCGAGTCGTTCGTTTAAATGACCAGACTGTGAATCTTAAGGGCGTACGTACCTCGTAGCAGCGTGCCAGGACGGCGGGGCTGGAGACGACACCCGCGTTACCCAACGCGCGCAGGGCCAGCAGCACCATGTCGGTCTCACCGCGGCCGAGGGCGCGGCAGTCGGCACCCAGCAGTCGCTCCAGTCGGCTCACCACCACGGCCACCTCGGCCACCTCGGCGGGGCAGTCGGCGCGCCCCTCGCACACGCGGTGCACCAGGGCGGACACGGCCAGCAACGCCTTGGGCCGGGGCAGGCCGTCGAGCAGGGGCTGCAACCGGGAGGGTCCCTGTGAGTGAGGAGGCTGGGAGCGCCTGGGGGGTAGGCGGACCCGTAACGCTGGCCTGAGCGGCGGGCTGGCCTACGCGCGCCTGGCGGCGCCTACTCACCAGCAGCGCGGTGATCATCTCGGGCTTGGCGCGGGCCTGGAAGGGGATGGACGCGAGCCAGGAATCCATCTCCGCGCCGGAGAGCTGCTCGGAACGCCACAGCGCCAGCATGGCTTCCAGGGACTCGGCCGTGGCCACCAGCGGGAGCGCGTCGAGCAGGAAGCGGCGCTGGCGTCTGCAGGGGAGGGAAAGCAGAGTAGATGCGGTTAGTGGGGGTGGTGGGGCGAACGGAGGGGCTTGGGGACTATGCAAGTACTCGCACTTACGGGTCCTCAGTCTGGTCGAAGAGCTTTGACAAGCTGGCGAGCTGCAGACCCCGGAGGTCAGCCACCAGGCGGGCGAACATGACGGCCGACTCTTTGTCGACGCCGTCCTGGGTGCGTGCAGCGAGCGACGCCAGGCTGGCAGCCACGGTCTCAAGGTTGGCGGTGCCCGCGGGCACGGCGCCGGCCTCGTGCTCGAAAAGCAGGGTGGTGCGGCGCGCGAACTCGGCGGCCTTGGTTCGGGGCGCGGCGGCGGTGGTGTCCTCATCGGCGGCGACCTCGTCGGGGGTATCGTCGGGGGTGACCGTCTCCACCAGTGTGAGGCTCTGGGTGACGTCGGTGCGCGCGCCGGACTCGCCGGCCGAGAAAGGTCGGAAGACGTGCGACTCGGTGCAGCGCGCCTCCCGGAGGTGGCCGCCGTAGCTGAGCGCGTACGAGCACGTGTGGTTGCTGCGGAGCAGCGGCAGCGCGCTGGCCGTGGCCGCCGAGGCGTAGTGCGTGGACTGCACGGACAGGTAGTGGTCCATGCGGTGCGAGCACGCCGCCAGGTTCTTGGTCTTGGTCATGAGCAGGTTGTCGTCCCGGACGCCGGCGTGCGCGTAGTGCGTCTCGCAGGTGCCCGTCACGTCGGTCTGGATGGAGAGTGGGGGGAAGCTTAGACCAGAGAGAGAGAGAGAGAGAGAGAGAGAGAGAGAGGCAAGCGCGCCCGCGCAGCGTCCCACCAGAGAGTTACCAGGCAACGCCCTCTGAATTTTTATCAAGGGCCGTCCATAAAATTACTTGGCCCCACCGACGGGGCTGCGCCGGGGCTACGCCTCCCCGCCCCCTGCCCTTTCTCGCGCCCACGTCGCATCGCCCGCGCGTGGGGCGGGAGACGGGCGCGCGGTGGAGACGTTTCCTCAACTTATCACACTTTTAGCGCGTGGGGCTGAGGGGAGCCTAGGCCCCCGAGGGGCTAGGAGGTCTCCCCCCCCCTCCACACCCTTCCACACACACACCCACACTTGCCGGCCCCCGTCGTCATACCTCGTACACCGTCGAGTCGATCCTGAAGTCGGGCATGGAGTTCTGGAAGGCGGACAGGACGCCCCTCTTGATGTTGAGCGCCCAGACGGTGTCGCCCGCAGCGGGGCACAGCTCGTCCACCACGCCGTCCTGGAAGGCGAACTGGAGCGGACGCGCCTCCAGCTGCTCCTTGAACTCGGCCGCGCCGGCGGCCGCCTCCCTGGCGTCGGCGTCGTCCGGGCTGGACTCCAGAAGCTCGACATCGCGCAGCTGCAACAAGCGTGGAACGCGTGAAATAAAGATGCAGAGAAAACGACAGAGAGAGACAGGGACAGAGTGAGGGACAGAGAGAGACGACCCAATATTCCCACGCATACGATTGACGTTTGTTGATTATCCTTGTTAGTTTTTCATGAACCGGTATGGAATAAGGGTGAGCGTTGGCGCGTCCCGCCCTGGACTCGCCACCACCTGGTCTACATTGAGATTGCCGCTCCTCGGCGCGCCTCTCTAGGCGCTGCTGCTGCTGCCGCCGCTCCAAGGCCGCAGAGGGTGGAGCGTGGAGCATTAGCAGTTCGGGGGATGGGTGTAATCGTTCTCCTGGCCTTGTGTTGTTAACGCGCGCGGCTTTCCATGTTGACGTATACGGCGGCCCTTGCACGGCATGATGCATGGCTCCAACGGCCCATACGGGCCGGCGCGGACCCACCCGGCCGGAGGCTGGGGGGCCAGGCCACTCATGCCTCATGCGCACTATACCCCGTCGTTGGAAGGAAAATGTAGAGAGAGCGGAGAAACGGGTTGGGACTTTTCCTTCTAGTAGACACAGTCTTGAGGACTGTCTAAAAAATGTGCCCAAAGGGGTCCGTGCACAACACAGCGTATACTTCATTATTTTTAGACTGTCTTCATCAGAGGGCACACTGTTTATAGGAATTGGGTTCATTATCTTTCTTCTTCTTTTTCGACATTTTCTTTGATTCGAAAATGGAAGTGTTAAATAGAGAAGGCCAAATTGGTCTCTGTGGGCAAGTTGTTTTCCTCCTGGTAGGATATACTTTCTCACGTCTAAAAAATGCGTTTATTTTCAGGCTCGTCTGAGGCTGCCTCACATTTTGCGCGACAGTGTGGTATAGTCATAAACAAATGGTAACTAAATTTCACTTTACCTGGAGCACGTAGTCGCAGAGGGTGATGGGGGTGATGTCCGCCCAGGCGGTCACGTGCAGCCGGGAGGCCTGGGGCCCGGTGCCCGCCACCAGGGTCTGCGTCAGCGACTCGTACCGGTACTGGTACGTGGTGCCGGGGCTGTACTTAAAGTTACTTATTTTATCAGTCTCTGCAAACGGAAGAGCGTCATAACGGTTAGGCGGTGGTTGTTTTAGCGTCGCGAAACTGCTGCTGATGTGCGAGTCTCAGCGTGGTGAGTCACTGTTACCTTGTTTGCAGTAAGCGGCGCACCTGGGCGCGCCTTTATCTGAGCTGGACAGGGCTGCGGGGCCTGCCGACAGATGAGAGCGTGACGTCAGAGAGAGAGACGAGATTAGCACTATACTAGCTCTAGTAAAAGTGTAGCACCGAGGGGTACTAATTCACAAAAAAGAAATCAGTGTAGTACATAGACTTAAAAACAAGAAAAATTATTTTAAAAATCAGAAAAAAATCAAAATAATTCAGGGTAAATTAAGAAAGCAGAACAATCGGTCTACGCTTGAATTGATAGTGAAGTACGCCTCGGATATTGCAGAAGTGTATAGATCGACGCGCGAAGCCATCCCCGGCGAGCGGCGCACAGCCCGGCTCGCGCTGCTGATATTGCCCGTGTTCATCACCATCCTCGACAACCGTTCGGCCGTGAGAAAGAACGATGATGCACCATCGGCCGCGGGGGAGGGTGGAAGGGGGGCGCAAATATTGCCTCGGCACTTATCTACACAGCACGCCGCGCACCGCTCCAGGAAGACAACGTCGACAGCCTCTCTTTCTGTCCCTTTCTCTATCCCTCTCTTTATCTTTCTTCCTCGGGTGTGCCTCTCACTCATTTTATTTTTATTTTCTTTCCAGAAGACTTCAGGAGGCACGCTGAGCGAGCGGAACACACAAAACAAAAGGGGGAACCCCGGGGGAACCCAAACACCGTATCGCGCACGCCACTAGGGAGGGGGGGGGGGTCGTCTCCGGAGGGTGCAAGGGGTGTTATAATGAGTTACCCCCTCCGGCCTTCCGCTGGGTCCACCCCCTACTCGCCCTCCACCCGCCGCTTCCGGCCTCCTTGCTGCTGCGCTCCTGCCGTCTCATCTTTGAAGAAGAAGGAGAAGGACGCAGGGGACAACGAGAAGAAGCACTGCTTCCTGGACCGGCGAGGATGAGAATCGATGTCCTGCAGCTGTGGTCAGCATCCGCCCGCCCGCCCATCCGGCCCTATGCCCTGGGGCCGGGCAGGCAGGCGCACGCCACTTCCCGGGCGGGGCCCCTGGGCTAGGCGTTCCAAGGCCGTGATTCAGGAGTGTGCCTCCCCAGCCCTGCCCCGCGCCCCG